GAGATTTCAACAAAAATTACTTGGTTCTTATATCCAAACTAGCTTGTACAAATGAAACATGACTTGAAGTGGACTGTGCCGGGAAAGAAAACAAAATCTAATGAGAGCATGTTATTAATGAACACTGATAAATATTGAGCAGCCAGTCAGTCATCAGGATCCAGAAATGTGTCTTTTGCTATTTTTCCAGTGGCTGCCGGTAATTCCTCATTGATTCTCCATTACAGTTTTTTTTTTCTTTCAGGCTTCGCCCTCCACACATAGAGACTCTATTATATATTAATACACTATATTTCGAAGGCTGTGTTGGCCTGTTTGTACATCATGGAATGTATTAATGTTTGTTAATGGCTATCATGGTAGCACCAGTAGTTGGTGCCTGCCAGAATACACAGTTTAAAGTTTAATTCCATGTTTTTATATGCAAGTATGAAAACTGGTTTATTTGGGGGGCTTTCGGTAAACAACGGGTTCAGAATCGTTAAATTTTACAGTACTTTCTTTGAAAAACATTGCTGTTCAGCACTTTCTGCAGTGTAAAAACACAGTTGTCAATAAAACAATCCCATATGTCTGCCAGGCTTAACTGTTAGTCCTTAATAGCGTAGGATCAACACTCAGTGCTAATTTAAAACACAAATAGATCACAGTAGCAGAACATTACAAACCTGTTTTACTACACCAAATGAAAGACCAAAGAACAAAATTTCTTAAGTCTGTAACACTTTATAAACATTGTGTGGTGCATTCCTGCTAAATCTTGGATTAAACCTCACCTTTGTCAATTGTACTCTTTCTCCTTTCATGGCAGACAGAAAACCCCTCTGTATCTGAATGTGCTCTCAGTTTATCTGTGTTGACAATGTACTGAGAGGGATTGAAATACAACAAAATGACTATTTGAGACAATAGCATTGGTTTCATTTTTAATACCTCTCAGCATATCATAAAAGAAATGTACTGAACATCTTATGGCTTTGATCAAGGATCAGACCTGACATATGTAACAATCTGGATGAAAATTAAGGAAATTGAAGATGAAACCTTATTTTTGTAATGTGTAGTAAATCTTACTTCAAATGACAAGAGCTCAAACGCAGTCCTTTGGTGTGACTAAAATGAACAAAATTAGGTCAGGGTGTAAGCTCTAAAGCATGTAAATTGCTAACACTCATGCCTTGATCTTTGCACGGCCCAATGTAGCACAGAAATAGCTCTACTAAAGTTGATCTCAAAAGCAGGATAATAAAAGAGAGTTTAATAAAAAAGGTATGGGTGTGAATCTGAGATGAATACATCATGTATTGAGCAAGATTGTATGCAGAATCTACCTGTCTGACAAATCATTTTCTCTTTTTCTTCAAAGAGTAGGCAAATTCAACCACATACAGTACAATATGCAGCTGGAACATACTGTGCGTGCTATGATATTCACAGTAGGAACAGAAGCATCAGTTATGCTGGAAAATGTTAGGGAACAGATAAAGGTTTATTCCATGCTGGAAAGAGAAGAAAAGAAACACAATGTTCACAAAGCTTCTTTGGGTGACACAGGAGAATGTTATCTTCTAACCTGATAATCTTTTTTTAACAATCATAATTGTTAACCATAATTATCATAGTAACTTGAACCTCCAAGTGGCATTTCAGTATGGGATCAGTTAACAATAAAAATTGAGCACATTGTTATACGTCTACAGCTGTGTTTTTTTAGTTTATTATTATAAGATGACTTACATCTTATAATTCAATTGTATCATACCAGTAACCACAAATAAATTAGTTACATAGTTTAACTGGTCAAAGAAAACTGAGATTGCAACATAAATGCCTTAATTTAATATAATGGTCTAAATACCAGTGCTAACAATTAAGCAATTTGTCATTATGGCAAAATAGCTTATCACTATTGGATGATTATGTTTAGCATTTTGAAAAAGAGTATGAATGAATATGGTAGTCAGAGGATAGCTTGTGCTCAGTTCCGCTTGCTTAAGCTTTGCAAATGGAGAGGTAGCTGAAAGGGGTCTGGAGATTAAATATATATATATATCTGACACAAAACACAACATATCTGAAAAATGGGATAATAAAATCATGAATGTTTCCTGAAACATATGGCCAGCAGTAATTAATTACAGACTAAATTCTCAGTAGAACATCTATCTATATAATAATGTCTTGACCATGGTATAATAGCTAATTTAGGAGCCCTTGTCTTACATCACAGTTTAACCTCTAATGTTACCCTCTTAAATAACGCCATGTAAGATTTAATGTTTCATTGCAAAGCCATAAAGAACACAAAACTCTGGCATATTTAGCTGTGACCTACTGTAACTTTAATGCACTTTTCCCTTTGCCAGTCTTTAGTACCTTGAATAATAAGGTCCAGACTCATTTGTTTTGACATTGTTTGAAAGCCTGACTTCCCCAGATCTTCTAAAGTTTCCTGGGCCTGGGATAGCTGTGACTACTTAACAATGAAACACCAAAACCACTTATACTAATACTAATACTAAAAATAAGCTCCTAGATGCCTTCAGACAAAGTCCAAAAAGAAGCTGAACTCAAAGTTGAAACCCAGTAGTTGTAGGAAACCAGCAACCAGGACCAGCATTGTCCTGATCAACAGAGGTACAACTGGTGTCATCCTGACAGATCTTAAGGATCATAACATCCCGTCCATTGACATTCTGCAAGATACTGTACAGTAGTCTTGGGCACATTTCCATGTCTTATCCAAGTAATCACATTTTTCCAGAAAATAAGCAAGGCAGAGACTTGTCAGTATTGGGGTGGGATACCTCTTAGCTCTTGCTGGTTGTGCTGGTGGACCAGTGGGAGGAGTCTTTCCTCTGAACAGAATTTCCAAAGCAAGGCCCTGTTGCGGTGACAGGAGACACCCTGCTGCAGTAGGAGGTGTCATTCGGATGAAACATTAAACTTGGGCTGAAGTACTGAATGCTTGTTCATTAAAAATCCCATAGCACTGGTATGGGTGTGTTTATAAGAGTGTCCAGCTTAAGCTCTACACTGGACTTGTACAGGCTGTTCTCCTTAAGTTTTTGCTTTGAGTCAATTAGTGTAGGAATTTCTCATGTCTCTCCCTTGTCAAAATGACTGCCGCAGACCATCCAGGTTGGTGCTGCACTTCAGTGATGGGTGAAATGGGTCCCCTTTATTATAAGTCAAGCACTTTGGAATTCTTTTTGATGTAAAGTGGTATACAATGTAGTATTATTAATTAATGTCCATTATGGAGACTAGAATTGGGATACAGGTTATTCCCCTTCATAACTTTAAGCCATAGAAACCCCATCCTGGTAATAATAATTAGGTGCATTCATCTGCACATATAAAGAATGGACTTTACCTTTGCATGACATCAAAATTAAATCTGTATTGCTCCCACTGGATTGTAAACATTGTAAGTGATTTCTAAATGTTTTGTTTCAGCTTTGACATATGCTTACAATTACGAGTTAGCCAAGCCCTAAATGAAAGATATGCATTTGAGATTTCAGCACCGCATAATGAACATGCCTAGAGAATGCTAGCAATGCAAATTTTCCACGACGAGGAGCAGAAAGCAGTATTGTGTGAACAAAGATTGATTTGAAGCATTAGTATGATTCTTGCTTTGAACTATTTTATATGTACCAAAAATTGCAAGTCAATTTCTTTGTTTCAGAAACCTGCTGACATTTTTTATGTTAAATACATGTACATACAACATATATGTATATAGAATATGAGTGCATTTACTGTACATACAGATGTGGTGCTACTGCATGTACACAAATAGCTAAAATACGATGGTATTTATCTTAAACATTAAACGTAATTTTGAATTATTTTTAAATTCGCTATGCTTTGTAAAACGGATGAACACAATATTGCTAAAATACTGTAGCAACTTCTGTAGCAAAAATCTGATGAACTGTGGCCTATCACTGTCCCTTATTTAGATTTTAAAAATCCCTGCGTGCTTCTGACTGAGGTTACTGTCTGGAACTACAGTATAACAAGAAATAAGAAACAAAACTCTTTGTTGCAGACATAACCACAGGCTGTCAATGCGATGTAAATCTGTTGGAATCTGTGCACGCAGTTTTGCAGTCTGACACGTAAATTTACAAAACAAGTGAATACATCACAGTACTCTAAAGTAATACTAAACATGCAGGCGTTTTCTAAACACGAGGGGGCATTATAAACATTTGCAGAAGAGTGGTATACTGGCGCATGTCAGTAGGACCTTCTACTAAATCTGGTTGAGCGAACTGTTAATCTGATCAGGAGCTGTAATGTATTTTCAGATTGTTTTCCCCAAATATCATTTAAGACATGTACTTCATTAATATTTTCTTAGGAAAGGCAAAATTCCGAAATAATTTGAATTTAATTTGGAAAACTTTGTCAAATCAATAAATCGTTTCTGTTTTTTAGAAAACAAACTTGCTATTGATATAATAATGAAAGTATTTGTTGCAACGAGGACCTTTTGAACAAAATAAAAAGCATGTTACTCCCAAAATTAAAATATTCCTTTGAGGAAAAAAAATCCAGAGCGTTTGGAGTGAAAAGAATTCCAGATATTGGAATTTCCCCTTCTTTAATTTATTTTCAGGTAACGTTTGTAATACTACAACTACAAAACAACTACCGAAACTACCAATGTGAATGTATTATTGTAAATGTTCTTAAAAACAGCAATGCATTTGCCATTTGTCTAAACTGAACAGATTTTCGTTTAAATTAGAATTATAAAACTTTGTTTCCCCCAAAATCTGATGATAAATTTCATTACAAATTACCAGCCTATTCTACTGCAAAAAAAGTTTGCGATTTTTCGGTTTTGTGATGACTTCAGTGCTGCTTGGTCTTCATTGAGCTTTGCAGATATTTGCTTGAACGCCGGGGGGCGACACTGGGTAGATTCTAATCAAAGCCATATGTCTTGAACTAAAGCTGCAGTTTCAGAAGAGCACGCCGGACGGTGGAAAGAGCAGCTTCAGACTGTGAGTAGGATAAGAAGGACTCTTTAGCTCCAGCCTTCAGACGCCAGCGTATGTGGTGAGCTACTGAAATTCGAGAGGTACGCGAGGAGACAATATCTGAAACGCAACTCTGAGCTGCTAAGCAGAAAGAACAAAAGTGTGGACATAAACTTGCAGTACAGTGGATGTAAAGATAACTCAGCACACAAGGCTGCACAGATTCATAGGAATGTATCAAAAAAGGCAAAAAGTAGAGCGTCTTCGGCGATGTCAATCCACCTTTCTACGATTCATCTTGATATTAGAAATTTTAACTGGGAAGCACACTGCCCTGGGTAAGAGAATGAAATCATTTATTCATTTGCTGAATGTGTGCTTTGTGTGGCTTCGTTTTATGTAGCGGTTTCACATTATCCCGTGAAGCTACAGGTATTTCATGTATAAAAGGAAGAGACAATGAGAGAAAAGCCACAATATGCACCATATATTAAGTGATTGTCTTCAATAATTAAAAATGCTTTTCTTTAATAACAATGATCTTTCATATTCACGTTTTTCAGATGTATTAGTATGATTAGCAGTAACGAGAGACAAGTCAACGTAGACCTTAGGTCCTAAAACATCTTTTTTTGTTCATCATCTTGTTCATGTTGTGAAACTTGCAGATAATTATAACCAGTTACATGTTTTGTCAACATTATGCAGTTTTAAAACGGAAAGTAAATTGGCAATGCAAAATATGAATTTGGCGAGACGAGTGAAATATCCAATATTTCAGTGGCGAGCTTAAGATTGTTACTTTACGGGCACATACTGTACACGGAGTTCTGTTGCAAGCACAACGTAATAAACACTTAAAAGTAAAACAAACAAAAATCTGAACATTTATTTGTGTCTTCTACCATTATGTTATCATGTTGGGTAGATTTAATGTATATCATTATTGACAGGGAAGATTCTCTGAACCAGCCTTCCTTTCATCAAAGCAAATGTAAGCACTAACTTAATTTGCTATAGTATGCAAAGACAGTGCTGTTCTTGAAAACTCAACATAATAGGGCTCATCGTTTCACCTTTCTCTGCTGGAAGTCCATTTACTGGAATGCTTTTTAAGTATAGATACAATGCAAGCTTTTACCACACGGGGTGATGCGGGCAGTTCTTCTTGTAGTACGTTGAGTTCTATAGAAAAACGTTAGCAGAGCATGATGCCTTCTCCTGCTGATCATATTAAATAAGCATACACGCAAACAAATTACACGTATACCGTTCAATTTAGCTCTTCTATAATTTCAAGAATGTTAGTGCTTGAATCTACGCAGTGAGTAAAAAAGCATTTGTCAGTGTATTCGGAACTTATTCGGAAGTGTTTTTTTTTTTCAAATAATGTGAAATGTTTCTTACTTTTTACACCCGTGGTCTGTCGATTACATTTCAGTATTTTATAACCAAGATAAGGTGCAATAAATTAAGACTCTCCTGTTCAATGGTTCATAGAATAATCTTATCACATTTGTGTTCTGTTAATTCAGATCACAAAACGGATACAACATACTGATAATGCAGATCCCAAAAGTGTTTGGAAGAGAAAAGTGTAATAAACAGTGTAAAATAACATGAAGCCTACGTTATATGCTTTATTTGTGTGTAAGTACAGTAGATGTGTCTCAGTATGGCTGTTCTAACTGTACAGAGTAAATAACGTGAAAGAAAAGCCTTTGAATGCAGGATTAACGCTCTGTAACACTAAGCAAAGTGTTTAGATTTAAATAAACACTTAGCAAGTCAAGGAAATTGTGACATTTGTTCCAGGTGAGAAAGGACAATGATCTGGTAATGAGGGTTTGAATAAGAACACATCTGAAAATCATAGAATTCCTTATACATTACTTGGAAATTTTGTTTAATATTCCACTTGAATAGATACAGAATAAAATATAACAAAATGAATGCAATAGTGAATATGTTACCTTGTATTTATGATTGTAGTGCCTCTTAGTAGTTTTAGCTCAATCCAAATATCCATACCTCCTTTGTATCTGCTATTGTAATCTTCCATCCAATTAGGGAGACAGGTTTTGCTTCTATTCCAGACTGTTTACATTTTTTTAAATGTAATTTTAGTTTCAGAGACAAGAGCTTCCTTGCTCTATAGTGCAGGCATCCACTTAGCCTTTCTGGAATACAGTTTTAGTCTTTTGCTTTTACTTAACCCATGAAAGGTTGTGAGAGTTGTCTGTGTACTCCCATTCCATTACAATTCCAAGAAAAGGAACAGGTGTTCAAATAAGTATTTTTTCTTCTTTTACTTTGAGAACATTCTGAAAGGTATCTTAGCATCCGGGCTAGTTAATGTGCCATCTAATGTTTCTGAAGACAATTTGTTTGGTTTCATTTGTTTCTAATTTGTTTCATTTATATAGCAGTATATAAATGTTTATTCTCTTTGTTTTTGTTATATCCCAAACAGAAGACAATTAAAACAGTTGTTTTCTTATCTAAATCCAATAGTTGCACAAGACTAAGGCAAATGGTCATTGCAAGACATCTATCTGAACTGCTAAGCTCACAAAGTCCCCATCAATTTCCCTTCGGAATCAATAAAGTCTTATCTATCTTATCTTCTCTTTCAGTTGCTGTGCTAGAGTATTACTGTTTATAATACAGAATGCAGTGTAATGTCTGTGCCAGGTATCAATCTGATTTCAGAGTTTAGGGAAAGACAGTATAATCTTTCCTAATTGATATAAACTCATTAAGACTTAAAATTAGCACTCTTTAACCAATTAGTTTTCATTCAAATTGTCAAAAACTCAAATGGAAAACAAGACACATTGCTGGAAAAAAGACATTCTTATAGTTCTTGGGAATCTGACCATCACTTTGTTAAGGACTGGAATGCTTTTTGGAACTATTGTTTTGTGTATTTCAAGTTAATAACGGTAGTTGTGTATGTCTAATTATCAACATTTAGTATTTAGACTAGAAAGACTAGAAAATGAACAGGTTAGTCTCATGCATCTCTACATTATTAACACAAATGTTGGATTGCTGGATTGAGCCCCACTGCATTCAGTGAATCTGTGAAGTGCGACTCAAGTAGAAACTACAGGAAAGTGTATTTAATACTGAGAATAGGAGGTACGTCTTTACACAAATGGTTGTGAGAGTCTGGAACAAGATATCAAGTCATGGAATGCAAATTCCCTATGGTCTTTAAAGAAAAGACTTATTGAGATCACAAAAGTAAGGAACTACTAAAAACTAACAAGGTATATGTAGTATTTGTAATAGGCTTCTCTCATGTTCTTTTGTTTCTTAACCAAGCACAGATCTAGTTTGGAGTTGCTGTTTTGGAGCATACAGGTTCTGAAAGGAACCTAGAAAGGAACAACTTAGAGATCCACTTCAGTTTGGTTTTGTAACCAATGTCAGGCGTAATGTGAGAGAAGATATGATAAAAAGGTGACAAAACACATCTGTAAAAAAGTATCATGCAGTGTTTTTCCATCTTTATACAGAAACAGAGTAGTCATCTATGGATCTTTTTAACCATTTTGTTTTATGATAACAACACAGAGAGATCAATATTTTGTGGTACAATACATAGCCTTTTAGATTTATGTAGGCTTAGAGAGTAACCAGTGATGTTAATGATGAGAAACACCTGACAGTGAGTGAATTAGATTGGTAAATATCAGTAATTAGCAGCTGTAACAGATGCTCATATATAGTTTACGAATATTTTGACTCTTGATTTTGTTAAAAGACTTTTGTACAGCAGTGTATGTGCTTGGAATGCTTATGGGTGTGTATTGTGAGAAGCTTGGGGATTAGTGCATGGTGTCAATTTAATCTGTTTCTCAATTGAATCAATATAAGCATTAGATTATTGATTTTGTTTTTGGATGAGAAGTATTTTTGAAAAAGGTCCTGTTTTTAAATGGGGGACAATATTAGACATGAATGGCAGATTAAAGATATTTAACCAGCATCTCTTAATGTCCCGAATAAATAGAAGCCTAACCCTTAAGTAATATTGATAGTTTTAATTTTAAAAAAATAAAATAAAAACAATACTATCCCCAGATACAAAGTCTTAAAGCTGAACACTTGTAAAGAGGTTATACATCATTTTTTGTGGAAGTGATTCAACACAGATTTCGAGAAGACAGCATGTTGACACAAAAGGCACTTTACCTTGAAAAAAAACCCTAGAGGCCAGTTTCTTGGAGGCTGTCATAATCTTTAGTTAGAACGGATCTCAGACCTATAAAACGTATGTTGCGTTACTACCGAAGCATTAATGATTACATCTTTAAAAGTTTTCACAGACATTTTGGAATGCTCTATGTGTTTAACAGATGGAAGCATTTATGTTTATTATTTTATCTCAAAGGGAAGGGATTATTTCTTGATAAATTATTAAAGAAATACTACACTTTATTCAACCTCATGTTGTGGCAATATTAATATTTACTATTAGTTTTTTTTTCCAAGTAACTGTCTTCATTTTTGGAATTTAATGATTAAAACTTGCATTTGTGTAAGGCTTTAATGGCAAATTTTCCAATACATTTATTTAAATATTTAAAGGGATCCTCTATATCCACCACTGAGGTTGCACACACCCGGTGAGACATTACAAGCTAGCAGCCCCAGGTGGACAAGTGACAATTGGCTTCATGTGTGGAATTAAAGTGGAAGTGCAGTCCCGGTTTCTCAGACCGGTTATTAATTCTCTGTAACAAAATAAATTCATCGATGGTATCGCAGACTTTACATATTCTGAGTCAAGCACAAAATTGCAAACTTTGTGAAGGTACTGTATAGTTGTAATGTTGTTGCTAACCTCTGGTCTCGCTACAGGCGAAAGCGAGAGTTCTGGGCGAATTGGACGTGATGCTGCCCTTCCTGCTCACTAGTCACTGTACATGACTATTGTAATATGATGTACAAGCGAAATAAGTACAGGCTGTGTGGCAGATATTCATAGCAGAAATGTTCCAGTGTGATCTGCAACTCTATTTACAGCACCAACCTGTTTTTCCTTGGACATCTCCCCTCTAGGAATATATAGAGTAGGCAAGGTGCCTGAGTTGTGAAAATCTAGTAACAATAAAATGAATACATTTTACCCAAATAGGCTGGCTGATATAGCCTCTGGCTCTTGTCCAACCCTATACTGGATAAAGTGGTTAGAAAATAGATGAATGAATAGTTCATTGTCGCAAAGAATTTCTGCGTAGCGTAAACATTTTTGGTAGAATTCATACAAAATTCGGTCACTCACCCCCAAACACAAAAGAAGAGACAAGCAGCAGTGCCTTTCCCT